TACTCCTGCTGGCCACACTATTTCTGATACAGGCCAGGATGCCATTGGCCTTCTTGGCCGCCTGGGCACACTGCCGGCTCATGTTCAGCCGGCTGTCGCCCAGCGCCCCCAGGTCCTTTTTCGCCAGGCAACTTTCCAGCCAAGGGAAGGGACTGCAGCCTGTGGATAAGTTCATACCAGAGCATAGGCAAGGGGAGGAGTTCATTGCAATATTAAACCTTATAGCCTGGTTCAAAGGGACTAGGCATGGAGATTGTAATGGATATAACTTGCTGTAAATTGCTGTAACAGCAATTTAAATATAAATTGCTGTAACCCATTGTTTGAGTTACGTGTTATAAGAAGTACTATAGCAGAAAACACCTGAACAGGTTTTGGCAGCCAATAGCTCCACACAACACACTGCCTCTCCTGTCCTAAGCAACCACCATAACAGATGGAACCCAGGTCGTGGAAGAAGAGAACTCAATGGACATTTTGTGGACATTTTGCAGGGGTGGTGCATAGACTAAGAGAATCATATATGTCTATAGGATGGGCAGGGGGTAAGGGGGTGGTTAATGGGGATGTATTGGACAATGTGGGACCTGAGCATGACACAAATGGTATAGAGTAAGGGGTAGAGATTGTACTGGTTTGGGCTGGGGTGGAGTTAATTTTCTTCATACCAGCTTGTATAGTACTATGTTTTATAATTATAAATATTATAAATTTATTTATTATAAATTACAGCTCATGCGGTGCTCAACTTTCGAATCAGATCAACATTTGAATAGTAACACTTGCATAGCCCTAGTAGGCTCTGAAGGTACATTTTCATAATGAACAACCCTTCCATTAACCACCAAATTGAAAAACAAATAGATTTCAAACTGTACTTAAACAAAACCTTTTTATTTTTTATTGAATTTGATTTGGCTGTATACCATTTGTTTTTAATAAGTACATCTATCACTACTGAAAAAACATGTAACAAGCTGAAAGAATTACGTGACAAAGATGGATTGAAACTAAATGGGAGGAATCCTCTGGTGCTAAATAAGGGAAGGGACCTGAAAACATAGGCGTGACACAGAGCAGGAGTTAAGAAACTGTGTACTTTCATATTGGTTTTGTTTAACATATTTAACACTTTCTTTGAAGATAACAAATACTCTGCATGACAAGCTTTTAACCAAATAGTTGAGTCCTTGAATTTGTGTCATTTTTGCATTTTATTCCTTACCACTGTATTACTCCTAATCTCCAGTTAGGATTTTACCTAATGCCGTCCTTATCTTGAAATGTGACAGACAGGTTCTCTGTACACAGATAATGCTTTTCAGCCTTTGACCTTTCTGAGTTGTTTTCCTGCTTACTTTGGCTTCCTGCAAACCTACCACTGATGCAAAAGCTAGGATCTCATAAAAAACCTATGAACAAAGTACATACACACTGGAAGCAGCGGTAGCATCTTAGTCACAACTAACCCAGCTGGGGAGGCTGAGGAATGCAGCATACGCGCAGCTGAGAGGCAGATCTCGGCAAAATGGAGCTTCAGGATGATTTCGTCAGTCATCAAAGCAGATATTTGGATGAGATGTCTTTAAAACCTACAGAGTATGTGAAGAAAAAAACCCTCCTGAAATACAAAGCCATCTGTGCTGTAAGTAGGTGCTGTTCTTCTGGGCTGCTGGTTTAACAATTCTCAAATTTGCAGAATTTTTATAGGTTTCATTGTATTAATGTAATCATTCAGGGTAGCTTGGTAATTGGTGCTTAAAGTTTTACAGCATGAATGCACTAACTTCACTGGCAGATTTCTAAAGTTATTCTGGTACTTATCAAGTGAACTTGTTTTTTTCTGACAGTTAACTGCACTTTTTGTTTTACTGTGATAACCTGACGGTTCTTTTGCATGGCAAAATGTATTTTATACATTTGTTTAAAACATATGTGTTTGTGGCCAAAGGAGCCGCAGTTCCTTTTTGCTTACTTTTTTATCTTTGGATTTGTCATTAACAAAACAGAACATGTAGGCAAAGGCCTTGGCGGAAAACACTCAGGAAGCAAGGCATGGGAAAAGACTAATGAACTATTACGCCCAGTATTGTCAGTCCCACATTTCAAATATCCTGTCAACTATCCAGGGCTTTAAGAGTCATGCAGCTGCCTTGTAAATAATAATAATGTGTAGGGTTTTTGTTAAGTTTTTTAAATCTTTCGTTGTAGCCAATACACAGTTTTAAGCTTCTGTTCGTGACCACAAAAGAAACAAACATTAAATATATATATATGTACGTGTATATGTTTGCACAAGCTCTTGCATCTGTAAATTGGAATTTAGAGAAAATGACAGGTACTGATTTTGGAAAGACACAAAACTTAATTTTGAAAACAGCCCTATGAAAAAGAGAGTCAAGTTATGATACTCTTCAGCTCTATGTCATCAGAACAATTCCACATAGTACAACTTCCTATTTAATGCTGCATTGTGCAAGGATTGCATAAAATATGAGGGAAATACTGGAAATGGAAAAAAAAAAAAGAGAAGGTAAAATGACAGACATTTTTTCCTTGTCTTCAGTAAAATACCTGACTATGAAGGCAAGTAAATTATGCTTTCAAGAGGTACTTGGAAGAGTAAAGTGAGAAATTTAAGTAGCCTAAACCATATTCATTCTTCCAAATGCACTAGTTTTCAAATGCCTGTCTAGATGAAAAAACAAAATCTAAATATTGGACCTGTAAGCTGTTAATATTCTACACCATTTATCTACGTTTTTGATAAACTATATGCATGAAGTACTTCCTTGGCAACTTTTTCCTGAAAGCTTAGGCAGCGAATTGTGTACTCACAAATAGTAGTCACACCCTCTAATAAGTCCTTCAGAGAACAGAGCATATGCATTAGGAACAACTTTTTTATAAGTAAGTAGCCGTAGTCCTGAATTTAGACATAGAAGTTAGCTGTGGAAAGTCTGAGGATTTGAATAGGTGCTACCAATGTTATTTCACCTTAAGGGTGAATGTCCCAAAATCAAGGGTCTTTGTGTAAATGCTATAATAAATGCAGCATCTGCATACCTGCTATGAGTTTTTGGTTTTTACTTCAGCGCTCTCATTGCTTGCAGCAGTGGGAATGTTTGATGCTGTAATAGCTGTACTTTCAATTTAGTATCATCTATTTATTTCAATTACAAATGTGAGATTTAATAAAAATGGAGGGTAAAACCATGGTGAACTTTAAGGTGAAGCGTGCATGCCCTGGTGATTGGGCTGATCTGTACTCATGGAAACAAGACCTGTTAGGTTACCCTGGCAGTGTTATCCTCCCTGCCTAAAAAGAGTGGCCGCTGTTCTAGCCCAAATGTGCCTCCTGATTCTCAGTCCTTGCTGACTGGATGTAGGATTAAACTGCTGCCTTCACTCCTGGGGTCTCTCTTCAAGAGATTTCAGCATTTCTGCCACTTTGGGCAATCTTTCCAAACGCTTATTCCATCTGTCTCTCTTACCCAGTTCTCTTACCAATTCCATTTCCATTCCTACTTTTGGTGTATTTCTCCTGTACAAAAAACAGGGAGTGAGCAGCAGGAAGAAAGTAAAGGTGGGAGAGAGAAAGTGTGAAGGAAGTAACTTTGGTGTTGCTGGTGTTTGGTGTTGCTTGGGAAAAAAATCAGTGACGTGAGGCTGGAGAGGGTGGGCAGCAAGGGGGAAACAGGAAATTCTTGAGCACAGTTGTGGGGAGCATAGCAGCAGGAGGAGAAAGTGTGGGGTCTGGAAGGAGTCCCTCCGACTGTATCTATCCAGAGGAAGAGGTATGTGCCACACCCGACCCACAGTTAGGTCTCCTGATTGTCCCTGTTAGAGGGCTAGTTGGAGTGTGCCACACTCCTGACTTTCTGGCTTGCGTGCCTGGATCTTCCTGGTCTATGGGAAGGAATAATGTGCACTTAGACTGTCCCAGCGTGGAGCTGCTCCATGGCCAAATTGTACACCCACACCTGAGGACTGCACAGCCCTCCCTGCTGCCACACTTCTGCCCAGCACTGCAAGGCAGGACAGGCAGTAACAAAGAGCGTAGGGTGTTTTTGTGAGCAGGGATGGGCGAAAAGTAACAGGACGGCGTATGGGCACTTGGTTATATCCTACCCACACATACAGTTTTTCTCAGCTCCTTACAATTGCTGTAGTCTCAGTTAAGAGGCTCCATTACAGTAATACTGAGCATGAGAGTAAGCGTCTCTTATTTCTACTTTATTTTGAATCTTAGTATTTGCTAGTGCCTGGTGGTTCCTGGAAATGGCAGGAGACAAAAGAAGGCTCTGAGGCAAAAATGGGAAGTAAACTGGACTGGTTTATGGTGATTTTCTGTGATATGCATTTTCTTTCCCATCATTGCCTTAGTGAAGAGGAAAGTGCATACATTATGAAATACTCTGAGAGGGTTGTCACTTTTCAGTGCGCCTTTCAGCCAGCATACATCGCCATTCATCTTGAGTGTCTGTTAAGCTGATAAAGGCTTCCTCAGCTCTTCCCCAATCTCCCAAACGTTATGCTGCTTTCTGTTATGGGATTTCCTTGGGCTGTTTGTCTTTTTCCAATTTCCTCTAACCTCACTAACGGGGTAACTTATTATGAGAAACTGGCATGTGGATGAAAATTTGACACTTGCAGCCTCAATCCAGCTGAGTCTCTTAAGAAATCCCTGTGAGCATTTCAGGAAAATATAGAGGCTAAATAAAAGCAAATCTGTGTAAATCTCTTTACACAGATTAAGAATTTGCAAAACAGGTAAATATCTTGCTTACTGTCTTTTCCCCAGCAAAGACTTCCCCGATTACAACATGCGAGTGGTTGTAGGTTAAAAGTGCGGTATTAAGGCGTTGGCTTGCAGTTCACAAGATTATCATTCTTGTGCCTTTCCTATCTTCAGCCTCAGAATGCCTCAAATTTTTTGATGAACAAGTTCAGAGAAATGATTCATTCATAAGAAATCATACGTTCATAGAAATAATAATCACACAGTTAATTTCTAATAAACATAACAGTTTATCACAATTGTGAACTTTCATTTTCCTGTGCCTGTGTGACAGGTCCTCCTGTGTGCTTTGGTGGTTGTATCCCTGGGACTAGGTTTAGGACTAGGACTGAACCGTGGAGACCAGGAGCAAGGTATGTTTATGATACTTTCAGCATAATTACCACTGAAGCTAGATCTGGTGAAGAGTTTCAGCAGAGGCTCTTTTATAGTGTAATGTAAATGTTCTGTGGAAACTTACCACTTGTGAAAATAAAGTTCTTATTTTTCAAGACCACTGAAGCTAGATCTGGTGAAGAGTTTCAGCAGAGGCTCTTTTATAGTGTAATGTAAATGTTCTGTGGAAACTTACCACTTGTGAAAATAAAGTTCTTGCATTTTTCAAGTTGGATTGTGTAAAAACTGTACACTCACGATCTATACTTGAAAAACCTATCCTAAACCACTGAGTGCCTTGCTTCTCTTTCCAGAAGTGTTAAACCTAGTTCACAACAGGTTTGGAAATTTTATTATAATAATACTTTTAGGAAATTTGAGATAGGAGTTATCTTATTACATATAATACCTTGCAATTGTTTAATCAATATGTTTTATAGAAGAGATATCATTGGACCATCTTCGTGACTCACGCTTTGCGTACCTTTGGCGTAGTTCAGGTGGCTAATGCTAAAACGGATTATGAATTTTCTCTGAAAACTTCCATTTCTGTAAAGCTATGGTGAAAAGGGGATAATGCTTTGATTTGGTGGAATGTTATTTTTTAGTTAGAAAAACAAAGTAGCATTTTGATGTCAGGGGGTCAAGCCGGATGAGAACAAACATACCACATGGTGAACTAAACAAAACACTTCCTTTAGAATCAAAACAATAGTAATCTCATACTGGAGGAGTTCAAGGAAGCACAGTCTCTTTCTCATTCCTAATCAACACATATTGAACTTGTTTACCTACTTATTCATCAAATCTTAGCTCCTTCTGAGATATTTCAATACTATGGGCCTAGCAAATGGGATGAGAGGGAACTGTAATTGCTTTTTGACGATGCCTATGTTCTATTACAACTCCACACTGCGGAGTGGGAAGGCAAGCCTCAGCCCTGAGCGGCACGCACCTTTGTGCAGTTGCATTTGCTATGAGGGCAGTGGGGAAGAGTGTTGCTGTTCAGGAGCAAAGGGAGTGGTGGTGGAGACAGGTGCTGGGGGCTTGTGGTCTTGGGAGAAGGGGCCTGGAAAGGAGTCAGGAGGACCTGTCATTCTGTACTTTTAAAAATTGGCACAGAGTTTGCATTTGGTGGTAGTACAATTGATTCTGTTTATTTACTCAAGGTAAATTTCCTTGTAGCTCCTGTAATTGTAATGACTATTCCAAATAAAAGTTAATGAAATACTAAATTCCTGACCTCACATAGTTATGTAAATATTGTAAAGAAATTAGAAGTGTGGGTTGCAAATTATGAGGGGTATGAACAGTTCCATTACAAACGGAGGAAAAGGTTTATATTTTTTCTTAGACTCACCATGCTAGATTCTATATCATTTTAAATCAGGTAGACCATCTGAACAATTTTGAGTTGTTCAAAAGCCAATGGATAGAGGAAAAATTAGATTAAATACTCTAAACTTCAGCCAAAAAAGCACAGAAAAATTGTGTGCAACCCATGGCTCTGGGTTGCCCGGCCCTGAGGGAGACCCCATCCCACGCAGCTCCCTGGCAGGTACATAAGGGAATGTCCAAAGTGGGGGTCACTCTTCCTCTTGCATCCCGGACCCAGAAATGAGCAGGGGAGATGCCAGTTTCCCCTTCCTCATGCTAGGAGGGTGGGACACCTGGGCCTTGCCTCCTGTGCCACTGGTCCTGGGGAGACCTGCTGCAGAAACAGCCCTGCCACAGGCTCTGGGGCAAGCACGGCCCAAACAGCCACCAGGACCTTCAACGTCCAGAGGACTTCCTACGGCTTTCGTTTCACCTTGCTGACCCTTGTGCTAGCGACTGCGTTGGAAAATGACTCGGGAAATGGATTTGGGAAATTATTCAGCACATTTCTCCCCGCAGCCCGTGTCCGTGATCCATTTAACTGACCTGTCTGGGACAGGGTTATCTGAGCACTCAGACTCGTTGCCTTCTCCTTACAGTCAGCTGCAGACACAAGTGCAATGAGCCGCACAGGAAAGAGGTGCCGGGCTGCCAGTGCGACAGCAGCTGCAAGGAGCGTCGGGACTGCTGCTGGGACTACGAGGACACCTGCGTGGAGCCAAGTATGTTCCCTTGCAGGCAATGCTCACTGGTTTCCATTTTATTTTGGCTTTGCTTTTTCATGTAATAGTAATAGGAAAAGCATAAATTCTTGTATTTACACAGATATACGGAAGTTATGTCGCATTCCCTCAGGGAGGGAAGGACGTGGCGGTATCGAGTTGCTGCGGCACTCAGATGACTAGAGGGCTGTAACTTGGTGACCTGGCAGGACACGAAATCTTCCTGCATCTTTCTCAAGTCAGATCCCTGTATTTTTTCCCCCATGGATAACCAAAGCATTTGCAGTGCATATTTCCTGGCCCACATAAAGCTGTGGATGAGCGTGAGCGGAAATCATAGGTTATCATCTTTGATCGGGGCCCTGAAACGATGCCGCTGTGCTGGCTCCTCTTGCGCTTTTGAAAGGGAACGTGTGTTTCCTGGCCAGGTGCACTCTCAGCCTCATGCAGCGCTCGGTGGGGGTCTGGGGTCGGAGGAGTGCACTCGTCTTCCAGGGGACCAGCCTGGCTCTGCATCGAGGCCAGACTCCTCTCCAGTTACTCTCTCTGCTCTCCTGGCAGCTCCTCAGATGTTTCTTCATCCTTCTCGCTTTTTCTGCCCGCTTCAGCCTTTAAATCTCTTTTTTTGCTGTCTGCAGGGAATCGTGTACAAGAGCAGGAAAAAGATCTGTTTCCTTCTCTTTTTCTTCTGTAGGAGAAATATGGGTTCAATTATTTTTTTTTAGATCTTCCTAGAAGGGTGGAAGGCATTGAACAGGGTGACTTTGGGGACACCTTTGTAAAATAAATTATTCTATGACTCTGTGTTACCATTCAATGGCCGCAGAAATAGGCTTTATGTGTTAAACAAAATCTTGAGTTTTCCTTTCAGATAAAACTTCTAAAGCCACTCAAGCAGGACACGTAAATTATAGTTTAACAAAAACTCTTTTTTTTTTTTTCTTCACCTGTTTGGGGCATTTCCACACAAAGGAGTTTACATAAGGTTCTGTGAACTGCATCATAATCTTTTTCTTCCAATTTTCAGCCCGATCTTGGAGGTGCACTAATTTCCGTTGTGGTGAGACACGGATACCTGGAAGTTACTGTTCTTGTTCTGATGACTGCTTGCAGGAAAAAGACTGCTGTGTAAACTACAACAGTGTTTGCAAAGGTAAATCAAAAGTCAAAAAGATTTATATATAAATCGTCCTGTGAAATAAATAGATGGGCAAACATAAACGTATAGATGCATTTGTTTCTCAAGATTAGAGTCTTACAGTGACGTTTTGGAAAATGAAGATGTTTTGAGGTGAAGCTTTTAGTATTTTTGACTGGGAAAAAAATGGTTTCTGGAGAACAATATGAATGTGTGTCGTTCATAAGACAGACAGAATATTTTGAATATTGCAGCAGTATACCCAATGTGGATTTTTTAGGTTGTTTCTTTTTTTTTTCAAAAATAGGTGGAGACATGGTTCCTGCTTCAAACTTCCTGCAATCCAAAGTACATATTGTAGTAATCATCCCTAATTTAAAATTTCCCATTCTTTTTATTAGAAATTAATTTTCAGATTGGGATTCTTATGTTTTACTTATTTCTGAGTATTTTTGTTCATGGCTGATTGTTTCATACAGACTCTGGCTAAACACATGAAGGATAGCAATGGTAAAATCAAATTACAGGAGTGATACCTGAGGAGTATACTGGTGACATAAAACATGCTATCTGTTATCAGGATTCCTTTATATTGTGAGGTGGCAGAGATTTAAGGCAACTCCTGCAAAATTATATTTGTCACCTAAATGCAAATTAAAGCTAAAAGCAGTCCGGAGTTTGACTAGGTGCTAAATTGATTGAGCTGACCTAGTTAAGGTCACTGTACATCCCTGCCTTTGGCTGCTTACTGGGAGAGAAGCTTTCTGTGGTGAGCCGAGAACTTCACCAGCCACTGCTTCTTCTCTTTTCTTTATATTTTTTCCTTTCTTGGATGCTTTCCTTCTTTCTTCTTTTATTGACCTCCCTTATTTCTTCCAAAGAGATGGGCAAACATTATCATAAATGAGTATAGCTGTGAAGCAGGTGGAGAATATTCAAAGGAGAACAGAAAGAATTACTTGAAATTTGGAAGCCATGGTCAACAAGGAAAGACTGAAGGAGTTTGGGCTCTTACAGAAAAAAAAAAAGAAAAGGCTAAAGGGAGCCCTGGCAATCATCTCTAAATGTGTAAGTGGTATCTGCAAAAAAAAGAAGGCAGTAATCCAGTGTGGAGAGGATACAGTTTAAATGCTTTCCATTTAAAACCAGATAAAACTTAGGCTAAGCTTTCATAGTGATTTCTTCTCCATTTTGTTTGTTTCCTTGTCTGTGTAATATATGTATTTTGTTTTCAACTTACAATTGTAAGCATCAGCCCTTTCAGGGTTTGAGGGCCTAATAGGTTGCACTAAATGATTTCTAAAGGTATCTTTAGCCCTACATTTCTATAATTCTGTACTGAAGCAGAAAAAGTGCCAGGAAGAGCTCTAAAAAGATCAGCCAGGAAACGTCTTTGGTGTTTGTGTGGGTTTTTTTAATGCTGACTCAGTATTTTGTTTTGTCCTTTTAGGTGAAATACCTTGGGTGGAAGAACCATGTGTGTCACTTGAAACTCCTCAGTGTCCAGCTGGGTAGGATAAAATAATTATGTCTTCTTAGCAGATAAGATCATTGTGATGATCAGAAATATTCCAGTGGCCTGAAGCAGGTCTTCATGAGGCTTTCATATTTACTGAGAATAAGGTTCCTGCCCTGAGGAATATTCTAGAGAAGCGGTTTGTGGCTAGTAATGTTTTTTGTTTCTAAAACCTTTGTCATTTTGTTGCACATTCATTTATCATTTACGGTTTAGACCAGTGTACAGGAGTTCAAATCCAGATTGAAAGTCAGTTTGCAAAGACCTGGAAAAATTGCTAGAGTTATCTCAAGGTTCATGTATCACAAATTGTTCATAGTCCATTTTACGTTACCATGTTGTATCTCTGATAATTCGGAAAAATCACCTTATGTAAGCTGTAATAACTGTTAGAGTCTGTGGTTGCAATTCTTTATCTAAGTAACAGGGTTTTTTTTACTTGAATTATCTGCGGGAAGAAAGGTGTGTTAAAAAGGAATAATAGTTATCACTCAAAATATTACTTCAAAAAATGGTTTGGAGTCAGTTATCAGTAACTGCATTTTATTAATCATTTTCTCCCCCGGTATTTTCCAGGTTTATGTAGTGAACCATTCCTATAAATTACAAATAATTGGGGTTTTTTTAGGTACTATGTGTAGTGAAGCTTGCTTCAAACTGCATTTTTAATTAATTGTATGTTTACAATTTTTATACCTTTATATGTTTCTAAGGAGACTGTAGAATATATAACGATGGTTAACAAAAAGACTGAATTTGCAGAACGAGATGACTTGATCTTCCTGATTTTGTCACTTGATGTTATGAAAAAAGGTGCTATAGCACCAGCACTTTATAACTGCTAATGCATCTTTCTTTAGAAGTCCTTTTAGGTTGGTTACAAGAAAGCATGTTTAATAACTTTGATGTTTATTTTCACAGCTAGCACCTCCTAGTTAGAATTTTTATAACAAGAATTTGAACACTGTTCTAGCGATCAGCTGCAGTTTGTGCCTATTTTATCATACCTACTGTATGAACTTGGAGCTGAGGCTTTTATCCTTGTTTCTTTACGTAAAGTCTTACCCTAAGCACATTAGCGGATGCTGCATTCCTTTTGTAGCTTTGAGTTCAGTTTGTCAGGGGCCTTGAGGCAAAAAAGTGTTCTCCAGCTCCATGGGAGCTAGGAAACTTGAAAGATACAAATCACAAAGAACATGGACTGCTTAGTGATGTCTTCACAAAGGAAATGTGGTAAGGTAAGGGGTTAGCACAAACCTGGGATTGCAAAGAGATTACATGTCCCAGCACTGAGGCCGATTGACCCTAACTGCTTGCTGGGTGACTGCTGTGCTTTTACAGTCCGTGTGCAGCTGCCCTGAAAGATTTTTATAAGGTGCATTAAGAGACAAGAGACAGAATTCAACCCATTACTAGGTACAGAGGTACTTCGGTTGTTCTATACTCTGGGCTTGTATTTGGCTGCTGGTCTGCAGAATTTGTATTTATTTGTATTTGTAATTAAAAGATTAACAAAACCCAATTTCTTTTCCTAGGTTCTATATATACCGAGTAGCTTTTATTTTATTCCTCCAGTGTTTTTTTTTCAGGAGGATTGTGTATTTGCTCTCAAAATTGAACTATTTGTTTATCTCACACTGTGATATTAATTCTGGGAAGTACACGGAAATTCTGAACCCTGCTTTTAAAAGTAGAATTTATATTGTTGTTAAAGATCTTCACAAGTCACCAACTCTCCAAACTCCTTTACGATGACAAACTCATATTTTCTTGTAGGTTTGATCTGCCACCACTTATCCTTTTTTCAATGGATGGGTTTAGAGCAGAATACTTGCAAACTTGGAGTTCTTTGCTGCCAAATATTAAAAAAATCAGTAAGTTACCAAGATTGCTTTGACTATTTTCTTTAAAAGTCTACATGCAACCTCACCAGTCCCTTTTGCTGCTGTCATGCATATGTGTTGCTCAGCAATAAGAAAATCACAAATCAGGTCTCCCTCGTCAGTTGTATATTTTCATTATTATATGTTCTGCATTAATTCTTGTATTTGAGTGCACAGCAAACATGACTTTTTTTAACAAGGCCTCTAATACTGGTCAGCGGCTTTTTATTAAATAAATAGTTTGAAATATACATTCAAACACAGTTTAAAAAAGTTCCAGAGAAGGATTTCCTGCATTCTCTGTACTCCAGTGAAAAATTCTAGCTGATAAGGAGATTGTCATTAAACTATAATATGAAAAGAAAATGCGTTGGGTTATTGGGTAATTTTCCTCAAAGATGCACTTTTTCAAGTCAAATATTTTAAGCTATTAAAGAGAAGCTGCATATTTAAAAGTATATCAGTGAATATTACTATATTAGACTTAAATGCAATGTAATTTACATATTGGTATAATTTAATATATTGATATGATTGCAGTAAGGTTCAAGTAACTGTTTCCCAGTATTTCTGAATATTGGGAAAAAGAGTAAGCTGAAGATCTTTAGCTTGTGCTGTAAAGGTCTTTAAAAAGTGAGACCCATTAGTGCACACTTCATTAACATTTCCTGAATATTTTAGAGCTCAGCTAGCAAGATTCTTTGTACCTGGACAAAATATCTGCATGTTTATTCACTTCTTCTCAGCAGTAATAGTCTAAATTGACAGTGTTCATACCCGTTCTGAATAGATCATATTCTGTTTCTGTTGTGCTCATTTGAAAATTTCACATGGATGTTACAAAGTACTACATTTTACTGAATAGTTAACAATATCTTGTTTGTGGATAATGAGGGTATCCAGAAGCCTGAACTTGAAGCAGTGTGCAAATCTGACTTCTTGTGCAAATATTTTATTCTTTGATGTCCTTCTGACATTGGAAAGAACTTGAATCAGTGAAGAAATCATGCATGCAGAAGTCAGTGTTCAGTTCCAGTCTTTTTAAACAGGTGGAAAGGAAATGCCAAATTAAAAAAAGGCATGAAAACCATGCTACGTGTATGTTTCCAAGAAATCCTTTCAAA